CCAAATCTCAGGTACCAAAGAATTTAGTGATTTGTTTAGGGGCCCAGAGTTGTTCGTGCATTTTACTAAATCCATATTATTTATTTTTGCTGGCATCTATATAGCCTGTATATGAAACATGAAGTAAAATTGATTGGAAAATATCCAGTTTATTATTTTATTGTATAAATGAAGAAACAGAGGCTCAGAGAGTCTAAGTGATAATTCTGAGTTCACTTGGGAAAGCAGCAGAAAAGCTGAACACCCAATTCCCTATTTGGAGATTTCATGTGGGACAGTGCTTCTCGAAATAGAGATTCGTGGACACCTTCATGTCTTAAGGAAAATCTTCTTCCCACTCTAGACTTCCTAACCATGAATTCTGGTGTTATTTGAGGAATCTAAAAGCCCCTGCCTACAGACTTTCTGAGTTCTTACCAAGTTTTTCATGCAGGTCTGAGTGCCTCATACTGTAACAAGACAACTTTTGTCTTTCATTGTATCCTAGACCTTTATGGAGAAATCACCAAAGGTCCTTTGTAACTTTCGTTAGACCTCCACTCCTTGTTCTTGTATTAATGCCTTGCATTAAACAAATGCACCCTTCCCTCTTAAAAGTCCTCTCCCTGTGATTCTTTCCTTTGGTGGACAGTGCTTGATCCTCACTTCTTCTGTCTCCTGATTAATGTTGTGGTTCCTTCTCCACTTTTGTCTACCACCCACTTCTCTCTCATCTTGTTCTACCAGACTCATTCACTGCAGGAACTCAAGCATACCCTGTATTTACTCATATTGCTCTCACTCTAGGTATTCACAGATTCGGACAGTGATGATGGATTTAAATACAAGACAGTCTATCTGCATTCCTAAACATAGACGACAAGGTGTTCAATCAACTTGCCCCACATACAAGAGATCATGAATCCAAATTAGAGGCTATCTCTCTAGACTTGCAGATAACTGCTCATTTCTTGAAACAACACTGCCTCTATTGGCTAATAAATGCTACAGTTACCATATGTTCAATATTTACTGTGTTTCAGGCATTCTGCCTAGTGCTTTATTCACATTATCTGATTTTGTTACTATAACAATCCCATTAAGTAATTATTATGATTTCCATTTCATAGATGAAATAATTCAGAAATTTAACGCTCTGCCAAAAGTCACACAACCTATGGCAGAGCCCTTACTTGAATTCAGGGTCAACTAAACATATATGTATATCAGAAGTAGTGATTTTGTTTAGAACAAAAGGACCAATGTGATTCAAACTGTGCCAAAAGAACATAGTCTCAGGGTTAATTTGGGAGCCACGTGCCAAGCACTGGTCTAAGTATTTTACATGTGCTAAGTAACACAACTCTTCAGTCAACCCATGATGTAGATACTAGCATCAGTATTCTCACTTTACAGATGAGGAAGTGGAGGTAGAGAGAAGTATATTGCCCCAGATCACACAGCTAGTAGGTAATAGAGACAGGATTCAAACTCAGGGAGTGTGTTTTTTAGCCTGACTTCTAATCACCAATCAACTTTCCCTCTTAAAATCTGTTAGTTAAGAGCAATCTTCAAATGTTTAAAATATTCGAGGGCCATTTTGTAAACAATCAAAATATATCAAAATTATGGTTCATTTTTCTATTGCAAAACTAAAAGGCATACCTAATTTATTTTCAAATTCACATCTTCTAACAGTTTTAAATGATATTAATAACATTCAGTGACTAGTGGTAAGAAAGTGCTATCAAATCTCACCAAGTGATGTCAAAGTTCCCAGAACTTTGAATTTTACTCCAAATGAACCAATATAACGTACATATTGTTTTTACTGATAGTTACTTCATGTATCCAACGAAAAGTAAATTGCATTATGATTTGCCACACATACACTAATGTATGAAATTCTTCTGGTTACCATTTGACAAATCGGTAGCACAAATAAAATAATAATTACTGATATCCAACCAATTTAGATGCACTATAATTTATATATGCTCAAAACGCAAGGATATTATATGCTATAGGATATTTTCTCCTAATAGGTAATCAAAGGCACACTTTAAGCTTATTATGGAGTAAAGAGAAATATGTCCTATGGCATGAGAATCTATAACCAGTTTTATTCAAAAATAAAATGGCAGACCAGACCATATTCTATATATAATCTCTATAAATAGTCTATCTGCTGTCCCTTTTATTTTCTTAATAGTGGTGGGATGAGCTGCAAAGTCACTCTGATCCCAAGTTATAAATACAAGGTAAAAACAAAATCCATTCATGGACAAACCTACTATTCAACATTGTATCTAACAAATCACAATGAAAGGACAGTTGAACAAGAAAATGTTGTGAAGCTCATCCTAGCCAAGAATTGGTGAGCTAGAAGTTTTAAAATAGACATGCCCTAAAAATTGGGCGCTCATCTTCACCACAGTGAAAATAAAGCCCAAGGAGCTTATGTGGCCTCAACTGCCAAAAAGAGTGGAGTGAAGTTCAGGGATCCACCAAGTTTTAGAATCCAAAGGGAAAAAAAACGGAATAATTATATTTTACACTCCACTTTCAACCTCTCCAGATGGATTACGAAAATAGTGAGAAATCTAACAAAGCATTGCACAACTCTTCAGGCTGTATTTGGGTATATGACAATGAGAGAGAGGCAGCATTTATCAGTTGACTCTGCCCTGCAATATTTTCTTAATGCTGATCTCTGGCAAGGTGACCGGGCACCATGACCCAAACCAAGTGGATGATTAAATCAGCCAATTAATAAGTACACAGTGAGATGAAAGGGAAGACAAAGCAGCCAGGATAACTACAGCTGGCACATTTCCCCATGATTAAGCTTTGACCTCCTTAGATCAGCACACTGGATGCTGGACACTGGACACTGATCCTCCATTGAGACCACTGAAATTGCTTGCTCCTGCTCCATATGCCAGAGGCCTGTTGTCCTGCAGGCTTCATCCACCATGTGGCACTTCTCTTATTCTGCTTCTTCCCACCATGCCATATTCCACCTCCCCCCAGTTCAATACTACTCCTTGGAATTGCTTACTGGCTAATTGTTTTGCTATTCTGTCCCCGATTGGATTAGACACTCTTGGGGATCAGGAAAATATTCTCAAACATACATCGTATAAAAACGTCTCAGTACATGTGTTTTAGAGTCAGACTTCCCACATTTATAGTCCTAATTCTGTGAGTTACCACTTCTATCCCTGTGACCTTGGGGAAGGCAGCCGAGTCTCTCTATGCCTCAATTTCTCATCTTTAAAACAGAGAAAACAGCAACTACATTTTAGTTTCCTGTAAAATGAGATAATAATGCACATAAGGGTTTATTGGAGTTCCTGGCACACTGGTAAATGTTCAATAATGAATGGAGTCCCAATTTTCTGGCACAATTTCTAATTTTCTGGTCCCATTCTGTGGTATTGTATTTGTCATTTAACTCTCATAACAACCTTTTGTGGTATCACTATTATCCCCATTTTGAAATAAGGAAACTGAGGCACAGAGAGGTATACCCCGTGGGTGAGGTCCTGAAGAGAGTTATGGCAGGACCAGGATTTGAAGGTAGGCTGTTTGGCTCCAGGATCTGTGCTCTTCATCTTCATGCTGTACTACCTCAAAACAAAGTCCAATCTGGCAACCACATAGGAAAATCATATGGGACTCTCTCAGAACTTAGGTGCCAATAAGACACAGCGACCATTTGTAGTTGAAAATTATGTCCCCATGAATAGTTATTATTCATCACTTACACTTTAGTGAAAACAGGTAGATCTGATTTTCTAAAAGGAATTGAGGTCTAATAGAAGCTATGTTTGAAGCCAGCCATAAAAAAAAAAAAAAAAAAAAAAAAAAATCTCATCATACTTTCTGTCTGTGACCCTTGCTCCATTTTTAGTTCATTATTCAGCAGCTTATGAGACTGTATCCTGAACTGCAGAGTATTCTTCTGTTAGGATAGCACTTGCCTGAAATATAACTGTTAAGTAAAGGCAAATGGAAAAACAATTCTATTGGAAGGATATCCACACCTTGCTTTATAATAAAATGATGACTCCCAAGAGGAAAACAAATATGGCAGCCTGATCCCTAGAAAATCAAACCACACCATTTCATTTTCTGACACCATGGCCCTTGGATGTTCAGCGATGTGATTAAATTTTTGAGACAAAATGAGCCTCCATAAAGTAAGAACAAAATGCTCCCCACAATCTAAGCTATGTAAAGGCCTTTGACCAAAAGTTACCCCTAAGTATCTACCTAGAACTACCAAAGAGAGAACCATTCCCTAGCCACTGTACTACCCTTTCTGACTCCAGGTTTCCAAAGAGCTAAAGAAAGGTAAGGGACCCCAAGAAACTAAAACTGCTTGAATAATTTTTTGAGACAAATCTTGAAAAACAGAAAAGCGGTTCTATATGGGGGAAAGAAATCATTGTTAAAGCATAGAACTGCCACCATGGGCCTTCCAGGGGCATGGCCAGAAACTCTGCTGAAAAACTGACTTTATTTTACAAGCAATCAGATAATAAGACTCCTTTAAGAAGTACAGAATAGTTAAATTCATCACATAATTTAATTGTACAGGTTATTAAATAGCAGTTTGCCTCCCCTCCTTCTCCGACGCTGCTTTTGTGTATTAAACTCAGACTAATCAAATTGGGGATTCCAAGAGTACTGTATTAGTCATCCTCATCCCTTTTAATTTGTTTAATGGCCTTGTGTGTGTGTGTGTGTGTGTGTGTGTGTGCGCGCGCGCTAACTAGCAGTGCATCACTTAGTCTCATGACAACATGTAAATAAAGAATGGATAGGAAACTTTTGCAGGAAAGAATAAAGCGTGTTTCCTTTCTAAAGTTACATTTGATGTTTGGGTAATTCATGAAACGTGTACTGCAAGCAATGGTGCTTATTATTTGTTAGTGGTCTCCAGACACAGGAGAAGAGCGAGAGCGAAGAAAGGAAGGAAGGAAGAAAGAAAAGGAGCCTGAATTTACACTCACCACTTCAAAAGCCCTTTTGTACTAAGCCAACTTCTCCTGGCTGAAGATGCAGTATCTGCCAAGAAGTCGCCTGCAAGAAAGCACACAACACAACAAAAGTATAAAACAGTCCATTAAAGGACTCCTTTTCTACCCACCCCCAACTTCTTTTAATAATTTTTTTTCTTTTGCATAAAAGACACATTTTTAGAAAGTGGCACTCACTCAGTGCCCTACAATGCTGACTGGGATTAGAAAATAAGCTGCCTCGTTAGTGAAGTTTCGAGTTCGGTTTGGCTGTTTGGGTCAATTGTCTTTTCACCTGGCTCGAGCCACCAAGTCAACGTGAACTAAGAATAGGAGTTATTTAGCATGTAGGACCCGTCGGAGAGCAAGCCTCTCGGAGCAGTGGTCTGAGAGGAGCGAGAATGGCTGTCTTGTTTGGGTGGTTGTTGTTTTGAGCTGCTTTTACACATTCAGACTTTCTGTCCATTCAGCCAAAGAGGCCACGTGTCCGAAACCTGAAAGGGGCTAGTGCTTTAGAGCAACGTGGTTAAACTTGCCTTTTCATATGTGGGATTTTCCATGTGGGCAATATTTGTTCTCTAGGCATTTTGAGAAGCTTGCTCATATATGGCTGTTTTTCAATGTTTATATTTTCAAGTAGGTGTTTAAAAAACAGCATAAATTATGGGGGATGTGAGAGGGTAGGAGGAGGAGAAAGTAGAAATAAACAAAGAGTGGTCGGTAACTTCTTCCATCACAGGCTGCATAGACACCTGCTGGAAAGTCACAAGTCCCGCGAAATGACTCTCCGAGTATTTTGATCTCCATGATGCCAACTGCCTGACTTTTCCAATGAACTGACCAGTTGTTTGGGCATCTTTCAGGAATAACTTTGCTTCAATCTGAATTATTTAGAAGTAATTACCCCATGGGTGGATAATCAAGGCCTGTGCTTTCTATTTTCTTTCTAGGCACCTGCTTTTGGGGGCCCATTTTAATACCAATTCTTACCCCAAACTTGAGAAGCGGTTTCAGTTTAGTTCAGTGAACATTTTTATTGAACATCTGTCATGTGCCAAGCACTCTGCTGGCTTCTGGAGATAGAAAGATAAAAAGAGGTGATTGTTGCTATCAAAAAGTTGAGATTTCGTGGGAGACAGACATGATTTAAAGTAATGTCATGAAAAGAAACCCAGAGTGGTTTGGGGCTATTGGAAAGGAGATTTTTAGCATAACCCAGGACTTTCAGGAATGACCTTTCAAGGCAGTGAAGAATGGGCTGAGATTTGAAGAATATGGAGGAATAAACCAATTAACATAGTGAGAAAGAAATTTCTGGAGAAGGAGCCATGTAAGAAAAGGCAAAGAGGCACAAAATGGTGAGATTAGCAGTTCAGTAGACCTGGAGAATAAAATGTGAGAACAGCAAAAGAGGGGATGAGATGGAGAAAAAGAATAGTGGATTATTGTATCGTGAAGAGTGCAGCCACCATTTTAAAGCATCTCTACTTTGTCTCAAGGGCAACAGGGAGCCACTGAAAGGCCAAATCAGAAATATGAGGGGATCAGATCTAAATTTAGTTATATCTTCATGTAAATGGATTTGAAAACAGTCCATGGGAGAATGGTTAGCAGACTAATACAACAATTTAGGGAAGAAAGAATAAAATTCAGAATGAGGGATTTGGTGGTCCAGTTGAGGAAGAAATTCAGATTTGTAAAATCTATGTCAGGCAAAATTAGCGGGATCAGGAAAAGGAAGAGGCTACCATAATTCCCAGATTTCTAGCTCAAACAACAGGATGGTGGCAGTGCTGTTGACCACGAGAGGGCCTCCAGGGAGAATGGTCTGAAGGTGAAGGAGGAGAGAAGTAAATAGGGAGCATGACAAATTCTGGTGCCTCCTGGAACAGTGGGACAGAGTTTAGGAGGCAGTCAGACACAGGTAGAATGAGCTTCCAAAAATCAATGATTTAAACCATGACTTCCCAATGGAGTCAACATTTCCCTCAAAAAGAAAAGGTGAAAATTTACTTTTGGTGGGAGGAGTCAGCAAAAAGCTCTTACATATTACAATGGTTTGTAGCCCTTCAAAGGGTCACAAACACATACCTATATCTCTATAATGCTATTACAGTTTCATGGCTGGGAGGGGAGAAATTTAGGTGGCAAGTAGGAAAAAACATGTCTGAAAATGATCCTTAGGATGGCAATAACGAACTAAAGATTGAGAAACAATGACTTAAATCTATGGTTTTATTGTTGGCTGTTACAAACTCAAAGAGAGTTGTCTTCATTGGCTAACATGGAGTTTGGAGCAATTATTTGCACTGGAGAAAAAGCCCCTGGACAGCTTAGCACCGTTCTCTTGGGTCAGGATCTTCCAGGTTGCTGTTTATTCCAGGACTCACACCTTCTGTGGTATTGATTGAGAATTTCATATGAGTAGAGCCCAGGAATCTTCACTTAAAATAATTTTCTTTTCTTTTCTTTTCTTTTTTTTTTCGAGATGGAGTTTCGTTCTTGTTGCCCAGGTTGGAGTGCAATGTCGTCATCTCGGCTCACCACAACCTCCACCTCCTGGGTTCAAGCGATTCTCCTGCCTCAGCCTCCCGAGTAGCTGGGATTACAGGCATGTGCCACCACATCTGGTTGATTTTTTGTTTTTAGTAGAGATGGGGTTTCTCAATGTTGGTCAGGCTGGTCTTGAACTCTTGACCTCAGGTGATCCGCCTGCCTCAGCCTCCCAAAGTGCTGGCATTACAGGCATGAGCCACCATGCCCGGCCCACTAATTTGCTTTTAATACTCTGATCTAACTAATTTAAAAATTCAAGGATCTCGGTCTGGCGCGGTGGCTCACACCTGTAATCCCAGCACTTTGGGAAGCCAAGGCGGGCGGATCACAAGGTCAAGAGATTGAGACCACCCTGGCCAACATGGGGAAATCCCATCTCTACTAAAAATACAAAAATTACCTGGGTGTGGTGGCACATGCCTGTAGTCCCAGCTACTTGGGAGACTGAGGCAGGAGAATCATTTGAACCCAGGAGGCGGAGGTTGCAGTCAGCCAAGATTGTGCCACTGCACTCCCGCTTGGTGACAGAGCAAGACTTCATCTAAAATAAATAAATAAATAAATAAAATAAAAAATAATTCAAGGATCTGAGATTGAATTAGGAAGCAATATTCCAATGGTGGATGAGAAATTTTCAAGAGAAGAAGAATCGTAAAAGCGTAAGCATACCATAAATGGAACTTAGGAGCTTGGGTCTCACTTTCCAAACTTTGAAATGGGTCACTCAACAACAACAGAATAGATGTCACTCTACAAAAAGAAGAAAGACAGAGGTGGAGGTAGCTTTGGCAACATGGCTGTAGTTGTTTCAGCTTGAAACACCAGTAGCCTGTGTAAGCTGAAAAGGGGAAGTTAATCTGAATCCACTGGCAGACATCAGTTCTCATGGGAGCCCCAACAAGGTTAGTTTTACATAAACTGCGAAAGTATCAGAATGATCTTCTTCATTCACCCAACAAATTCTACTCTGTAGAAGGTACTGCCTAACCTCTGGAGTTATACTATATCCATCAAAAACTCACCAGAGAAATAGCATTTATGGAGATTGCCTGAAAGATATCCACTCATCTATAACCTATACTCCTACCCCTACCCTGTCTCACAGGTAGGGAAAAAAGCTAAGACACATTTAATAGAATACTAGGCTGACTTTGGGAAATGCCATAAGCTTATATTGTATTTCCCTAGGAAGAAAGACTCCTTTTTGCCACCATGTCACTTGTAAGAATGATGTTGAGTGTGATCATTACATTGTCTAGTAATTAGAATGACCACTCTTCTGGTGGTTGTTTCTGTTAGGTGATTAGTAATAGTAGGGTTTTTCTCAAGTTATTTTGTTTTAATTCATGGACACTGAGAATTATACGGCTGGTCTTTATTCCCCCCCTGTTAATTTAAGCTGCTAAAAAAGCAAAAACCAGACTTGTTCATTCCCAATAGCAAGTAGAAGGGACTCAATACTATGTGTGTTTTTATTAGCCTCGTTCTTACTTCCATTTTATGTTCTTAAATAAAATATATACCAGAGCCATGGCATTTATTGGTCTTTTAAGGGACTTGTAAATGAGGTTAAGGCATTATGTTATCTGGAAGTTACCAGCTGAGAAGGGATTAGTTATCTGATTGACCCATCCTAGCTCAGGGCAAAGCTGCAAAGAAACAGATATGGAATAGGTAAATTCTGAAGAAAATGGCACAGAGGAGGAGCAGAACAGGAATGGTAAGGTCAAGAGAACAATGTTCACCCAGTTCTATCCATGTGATGGCATTGAATTCAGTAGTGGGTACCCTAAGGCAAGAATTGGGTCAGAAACAGTTACTAATAAAGGTTTAGTTCATGGCACACTAACCGCTAGGGGTTTTACTAATACCCTACCCGCAACTCCCCCCTCCCATGATTCTATTTTTAATATAAATTTTTATTGAGATAATTGTAGGTTAAATGAAGTTGTCAGAAATAATACAGAAAAATACCCTAGAGCTTTGATCCAATAGAACCTCAAAATATGTAAAGCAAAAACTTGTTTCTTATTGCTGACATCTTCCAATAGTAACATTTTGTAAAACAATGTGATATCACAACCAGGACATAGATATTAATACAATCCACTGAACTTATTCAAGTTTTCCATTCTACTTGTTCTTATTTCTGCATTTAGTTCTATTTAATTTTATAACATATGTAGTTTCAAGTATTTAACATCACAGTCAGGAAACAATTCCATCACTACAAGGATGCCCTTTTATAACAATCACTGTACTCCTCTTGCATTTTGTGAAAGAAATTGTATAAAATTGGTTTAATTGCATTCTCTTGCAATTTCATTTCATTTCATTTCATTTATTTCATTTTAAGACAGAATCTTTTCTCTGTCGCCAGGCTGGAGTGCAGTGGCCCATTCTCGGCTCACTGCAACCTCTGCCTCCCAGGTTCAAGTGATTCTCCTGCCTCAGCCTCCTGAGTAGCTGGAACTACAGGCATGTGCCACTGTGCTCAGCTAATTTTTGTATTTTTGTGTTTTTAGTAG